GAACCATGGATTCTGGAAGGTTTGGGCGAAAGAGGTTATCTCGGGAACAGACGCCGATGCCACTTCGGAAGCCACCCCGTCGGTCCAAGGACCCTCGACGAGGCAGAGAAGCGCGTCAAATCCGTCCGAGAGGAGCGACTTCAGCATGTAACGTGCTGATCTTGCGGGCAGGAGTAGACTCATGCTAGATCCAGTTGCTGCCAGGGAAATGATGGCAGCAGCCGAAGCAGCCGTCGCACCAGCAATATGAAGCATTTTTTAGCCGTTGCAGCAGCACCAGCAGCAGTGGCATTCGTAACAAAGGTAGCAGCCACAATGTCAATCATCACAGTCATGTCCATGATGGTGAGATCAGTGATGTTCATGTCATTCTTGAGCCCTAAACCCCAAACCTTAAAAAGGCTCAACACACTTCAAGAAATAAAACCTGAAACCCTAAACCCTAAACCCCTAAACCACCTTAAACTGTCTCTCTGGGGGGGGGCAGGACCTGAGCTTTGAGAAGCTGTGGAACATGAGCGGCGAAGAGCGCGGCCAGGCAGAGATGAGAAGCCTTATGCAGAGGTATACATAAATACATATATATATATGTACACCTTGCCAGTCGCAGGCACCCGTTACAGTATGTCGGGGCCCTAACCCCTAAAAGTCTTGGAACAGGGCTTTGGTTGTCTTTGAAGGGTTCTGAAAAGGTTACTGTATTTATGTGGGTTACCAAGACCAAGAGAGTTCTTTACGGGCTTTGTGATATAGCAAGATCACGGGGGATAACTTTGATATGGTGTAGGTATACACGGCTTTAGGGATTCGGCCATCCAGAGAGACTAGTCCCCGTGTGATTCTGGACGGCAAGGGCCTTCTCCGGCGTACCTGCAAGGGTTTAGAGTTCGGGTTTAGGGTTTTGGTCAGGGATTCGACAAGGGGCGCTGATGAGGTTACCACTAGCCTAGGTTTTGTGGGAATTAGGGATCTGGAGGCACAGTTACATCCCAGCTTGCAAAGAACTGCAGAGGTGCGTGTCACTTTTGCTCAAGATCACTGAGGATGGTTGTTGGCGCAAGGTCTGGGACCTGCCTTCCCGATCTCTTTGATTCTGGAGCCTCGGTGGCAAACGGGAGCGGTTCAGGGTTTAGGCTTCAGGGCTCAGAGTCTAAGGGTTATTAGTCGTTACCTGGGAATGTTTCGAGATCGGAGTCATTTGGGTGGTTAGGGTAGAGCGGATTCGTGGAGAATGGGTCAGAAGATGGTGTACGACTTCTGCACAGACCTTTCCGACCCACCATCCAAAGCGCGGTTGACTGCCTTTTCCCGGACGCTTCACGGTTTCAGCCATGCAGCCGTAAACCCCCGAACCCTAAACCCTAAAGCCTAGATAATGGGCAGAGTCGTTTGCTAACACGGACATTTACGGGCTTTTGGATGCTCCCCCTGTCAATGATTAGCAAAAACTATGAATATTGGGTCCGACTCGACGTCCGAGTACAGTGAATACGAAGCTGAGAAACAGTCTCCAGGTCACACGTCACAAGTCTTTGACTGTGATGTCATGTGTAAAAACGGTACGACCGTCATGCTGTTGCAGAACAGTGTTGATCAATCACCCACCGGCATGCACCGCGAGCATCTAAGCACCCCACCGGGACTCACCCGAACTCCGAACTAGATCCTCGAGATCCGCGAGAGATTTTTCAGATGCTAAGTCTTACACCATCTACTGGACCGCCAACGTGCCCTTCATCGCCTATGCCTACTACACCACCGTCCTCACAGGGACAGCCACAATGGGACTGGTGATGGCAGGACTCTGACACATAAGGGTGTCGGGGTCACCATCGTCTTTGTTTTAGCTTCCTGATACATCTTAGGCACATGCGGGTGGGGACTACGCTGAGGGTTCAGGATGCAATGTCCTAGGTGTTAATTGCCGGTTTCGAGTTTACAGATCAGATGCTGAGTGTTTAGCGTTTGGGTTCTTCTAAGCACAAACTTCGCGGCTTTCCAGCATTGGCTTCTCACGTGTCTATGTGCGGTTCCTGGTTTGCGTGGCATCTTCGTAGCTTATGATTTCTGATGCTGTGCCACAGAGAAGTTGCACAGGAAGACATTGACATACCATGTACCCTAAACCCCAAACCCCATGACTTTAGGGTTTAGGGCCTTTAGGGTTTAGGGTTTCGGGAATTTAGGGTTTAGGGTTTAGGGAATTTAGGGTTTAGGGTTTTGGGGTTTAGGGTTGCACCCTTCATAGACAGGACGACGTGCGACAGGAATTTGTTTGAGGAGCCTACAAGGGCTTCCGGGAGAAGCCTTCGTTGAACCTCACGTTTGTAGTATAGGGGCCGAAACAACTACCTGCACTATTTTGGGGTTTCCGTAGTATAATTATGGTATAATGGGCCCCAAAACCCTATTCTAGTTCTTAAGGCCCCTATATGAGTATGCTGCTGTGCATTCCACAACCTCGCTAACCTCTTGTGAAAGGGCTGAGCTTTCGGCTTCTGTCACACGGAGGAGCATACACGGCATCGATTCCCTTCAAGCCGTTGATCTACATCGGCGGGATCCTGCTTTCGCCGTGGGTGGCAGACAATGCTTTCTAGCTGCAAATAACGTGGCCGCAATAGTGCAAGGGCTTGCGGATGCAGATTAGCGCGTCAGGGTGTATGCTGCATGCGATTGCTCCGGGAGTGGCAGGGTTTCGGGAGCCAAACCTTCCGATCGAAGGCAGAGTGTTCAGCTCAGAAGACCTGGCCACAAGACCCCAAGATTTTGCTGGATCCTGTGGTGCATGATTGCGTTCATGGCTTCTTTTGGGCTCGATTTACTATTTCCTCTTGCTGTACATGTTCAGACTACCCTCAAGCCTAAACCCTGGGTTCTGAAATCGCGAATCTGAGCAACCCTGCTGAAGTTGTCGAATTTTACTCTCGCTTCACCAAGCTTTGCGGTCTTCAGAGGTTTGGATTTTAGGAGCTTTGGGTGTCGAGCTCTGTCTGTCGCGGAGGTGATGCCACTCATCGGCAAGGCCCTGAACATGTTCAGATTGCCAGATGAGGAGGAGTTGAACAAGGGTTTAGGAGTTTAGATTGCTCCACATAGCACCCGTGGGTTTTACCTAGTTTTCGCAAGGTTTATGTCGCAAGCTTATAGGAGGTCTTTAGTCGGGTCGTTGTACATGGGGCGATCTTGGGTGCCTCTGATCGCCCAGAGTTGAGATGCAAGCAACTCTTAATAGGTACAGTTGCAATTTTCAGGCCTTTGTAGATAGAATCCTGGTCTCACCGGGCCCAGCAAGATCTCGCAGACTTGCACGCCCGTTTGCAGACAGCGGTGACAGACCCCGGCAGCAAAGATACCGTATGCTTACATTCTCTGTATATTCCGTAATTGCGGGGTTTTGGAGTTTCTGGGATCAGAATAGTAGGCATGATGCAGTCCATGTTGCGGGTGCCCTACCCCACTCCCTCCATCATCATGTTAAGCTGAGACCACTAGGCCGTGATAAAGAAGCCAGAAAAATCACCTGTACTGCTCCTTAGGGTTGTTATTGCTCCTGTAACTTATCACTGCACTACAGTAACCCACCAAGCCCTCTTCTAATTTTCAGGGCCCCTACAATCGCCGTTGTAGAACGGCGCGTGATCGCAGAGGTCGAAGGAGGGAGTTGGTCTCGGGATTGAGGCCCTGTTTGGGTGCAGAGGGGGCTCTAGGGTTCAGGGTTCAACCTCAAAACCCTAGATCCTAAAGCCCTAAAGCCCGAGACCTCAAACCTTAAAGAGCTGAACCCTCAGGCATTGAGAGTGAGCTTTGCCGATTTGGGAAGAGTTTGGGTTTTGGTTCGCTGTGTTTCCAACGCTCCCAAATGATTTTGGGGTTTAGGGTTTCAGGGCTTAGGGTTTGGGGTCTAAGAGTTTAAGCTGTCAGGGCCTAGGGCTTGGGGTTTGGGGTTTAGGAGTTGAGGGTTTAGGGTTTCGGGTTTAGGGTTTAGGGTTTAGGGTTTAGGGTTGAGGGTTTAGGGTTGAGGGTTTAGGGTTTCACGCTTCACTTGGGCATGGCGTAGCCGTGAGGCTGCTTTCCGTCGACTCTCAGCAGAAGAAACGTCCCAAAGCCCGACAACGAAAATACCGGGAAGCCGAAGCCTTCTCTGTAGTATGCCACTACACTATACTATACCATAGTATACTAGACTATACTTTGCCAGACTATAGTATACTATAGTATGTATACTATAGAATACTATGTTATAGTATACTATATACTGTAGTACGTCATGAGTTGGGCCTCAGTGCTTCTCGCGAGGTCAACCCTGAACCCTTACTCCTAAACCCTAAACCGTAAACCCAACTCAACATTCAACCATCCTAACTCAGGCAGGGAGAAAAGAGGGTTAAAAAAAAAAAAACCAACTCAACCTGCTACATGAACCTGGAAGAAGACCCCAGAAAGTAAACCTATTGCGAATGGCTTGTCTAGCCTAAAGCCTGAACCGTAAACCCTAGCTTCATCGCTCTACGGTTTCGACTTACACCTCCAACTGATGCTGTCCTGATCCCTCCCTACACCCTGCACAGTAAGCCCTAGAGCCCGAAACCCTAATCCCTAAAGCCCTGAAGCCACCGTCGAAGCTGCCAAGACTGGTCGTTGCTGGTCACATCGTCAGCCCGCCACCGTCCCTGCCAAGACCCGGCAGGGCTTTGGAGGCTCGGACCAGAGCTCAAGGGTGGCTTTTTTCATGCTCCCAGTTTCAGTACTATTACTACCATGGATGAACTTTATATGATGATGATAAATATGGTCACTGTTCTGGTTCGTCTTCTTGGCTTGACTGCTTGCACATCAGATCTATAAGCTGTGCATTCTCCAGCTGCTTCCATGCGCAACTTGGCTCAAGTTTATGCGAAATTTTCCGAGCGTGGAAGGCTGGAAGCCCTTTAGCTAAAGCTTGGGCTGACTCGAAGTCAGGTTCTCCACGCTGTTCGGGCTTAGGTGGCTTAGGGGCCATGAGTGCTTCTGAGTGCTGGCTTCACCGCATACACCTGCCTCCCGGGGAGTCCTGGCCACGAGTATGGTCCGGGGATTTCAAGGCCTGCTCCCCCGACTTCCTTTCGGAATCTGCGGAGCGACTGGGTTCTACATAGTTTTAAGTTACCATCATAGGGATCTATGGTAAATCATATGGTTTCCTTATTATGGTAACTTATAATCTTAAACCCTAAACCCTTTAAGGAACCCTTATAGATCCGTAAGAGGAGCCCTTATATAGATCCTTATTATGGTAACTTTAACATAAATCCCTCAAGAAGAACCCAGGCGAAGGTACCGTTTGGAGAAGCTCCTCCAGCGTGCAGCCACGGGGCAGACTCTTACTTCGAGCTCTAAAGCAAGCAGCCGCTGGTATCTTTGTCATACTTGAGTAACTTTTTCTTTTTTTATCGGTGTCGCAGTTGGTTCTCTAACATTTTAAATTTTTGTGGGTACTTAAACCCAGTAAGGAATGAGCATGTAAATTTGTAATACTATCCCAACCATGAGCTAGGTATGGGAACTTCAGCGGCTTGAAGAACTACTCGGGAAAGAAAGGCAGGCTTCTTCTGAATAAAGACGGAGTCTTATTTGAGGCGAAAAGCGGCTACTCCTCCTTGCTTATCCCGATGTTGCTTGCAGATGTCATGTCTGCACCTGTGAACAAACAGCTGGCGCCACCTCTCTTACGAGCACCAGAGGCCACGCATATCATTTTGATTGCCCCTCGTGCTACTGGTGGAGTAAGGCCAGCGATTTGGCTGCTTTGTACGATTGCCGACGACTCTTCTCTGGATCACCTCATCATGAGTCTTAGCATGCGGGGAGCTGTTCGATGGAATATTCGGCAGTGCCTCCACCTTGCATCAGATAGTTTCGGCCAGGGATCCCACGGGACGATCTTTGCTGGCATGTCGCTGCTCCCTTTGCATGAAGAGCACCGCGAGCTGATCCCTGCGAAAGCGGATGTGCTGAATATGAGCAAGGTCCACAACTTCGCACGGGTGGCCGTGAAGCTCCTGGGTTCTTGTTAAGCAGTTTCCTTCAAGGTACCATAATAGGGATCCAAAGTACATACTATGATGTCTTTATTATGGCAACTTGACTTAAGTCTTAAGGCACCATCATAGGGATCCATAGTACATAATACGAATTCTTTTTTTATTATGCCAACTTAACTTAAAACCCCTTAACCAGAGCCCAGGATTTGGGACAAGCTCGACTCGGCGATGGTTCGTCGGGAGGTGGGCTTCCTTCAGCAGTCGGCCGGTCATCCGAACATCTCGGCGCTCTTGGGCATCTACGCGGAGGCCCAGACGAAGGCCAACGTGACGTGGCTCCTTGCGATGGAGCCTTAGTAGCTGAGTGGATACACTTTAGACTTTTTTGGGGAGAATATTACCCACTATAAGACTAAAAGTGTACACTTTTTGGGGCTTATGAACTCAGCAGCCAAGGAGCACTGCACCGGCAGTGATCTCTTCAACACTATCAAGGCCAAGTGTTTGACCCTGGGCTGCTTGGCGTTCTTCTGGTTGGCTCTTAGGACTTTAACTTTTTGGGTTCTTACATTAACTATAATAAGGAGGCTAAAAGTTTAACTTTTTGGAGGGGTTCAGAAGTCAGCCAAGGTTTCATTCTGCAGATTCAAGCCGGCTTGTCATCAGCATTGGCACATCTGCACTGCTTGAACATCGTCCACCGAGATGTGAAAGCCGAGAACGTGGTCATGCAGAAGGATGCCCTAGACCTTGAACCTTAAACTCCAGACCTTAAACATTAAACTCAAAACCCTAAACCCAAAAACCCTAAACCCTGAACCCTAGCAGAAGGATCGCGCCGTGCTCATTGACTTTGGCATTGCAGCATACCGACATTCGTGGCCGATTTGGGACAGTTCTGACATTTCTCTGGTAGTTTTAACGAATCCTAGGTATCCGTTAAGGGATCTATATAACGGCTCCTTTAAGGGATCTATATAAGGGTTCTCGTAAAGGTATCCTATAAGAAGTATCTCCTAATCCTTGGTAGCGCTAGGGATTAAAAGGGATCCCTTCATAACTAACCGATACCTGGTAAACCCCTGAACCCTAAACCCTGAAACCCTGAAACCCTAAACCCTAAACCCTGAAACCCTAAACCCTAAACCCTGAAACCCTAAAACCCTATGTCCGGCTCTCTTAAAAGGGACCTTGTGGATCGGGTCTAGGTCCCCAAGGGCCCCCAACTCCTAACTCCTAAAGGAGAACCCGAGCTGCATTCATTACTTTTCCGGATGGGTTTACTATGGTTGCTACGGAAAAATAGAAATAGGAATCGTAATAAAAGCATCAGTAGCAACATTCATTGCAAGAGTAAAAGTGATGGTAGTCGTAATACTGATCGTCATCATAGTAGTTAGACGACTAGTCATAGTCATAACCGATACCTGGTAAACCCCTGAACCCTAAACCGTAAACCCTGAAACCCTGAAACCCTGAAACCCTGAAACCCTAAACCCTAAACCCTGAAAATCCTTAACCCTAAATCCCTAAACCCAGGAAATGACAAGGAGGCCATGTGTCAGGCCATAGGATCGCCTGGCTACGCGGCGCCGGAGATCATCTCTCCTACAGAGGGCGGCTACTGGGATAGGAATTGTAGTTGTAAGATAAAAGTAATAGTTTTTAGTGGTAATAGTAATTCTCATAGTCATAGTAGTAGTCGTCGTAGTAGTAGTATTAGTAGTAGTAGTAGTAGCAGCAGTAGTAGTAGTAGTAGTCGCAGTATGTGCAGTAGTCGCAGTATGAGTAGTAGCAGGAGTAGTAGTGGTAGTAGTAGGAGTAGTAGTAGCAGTAGTAGTAGTACTACTACTACTACTACTACTACTACTACTACTGCTACTAGTACTAGTACTACTAGTTCTACTAATACGACTAGTACTACTAGTACTACTAGTACTACTAGTACTACTAGTACTACTAGTACTACTAGTACTACTAGTACTACTAGTACCACTAGTATTACTACTACTACTACTACTACTACTACTACTACTACCACTACTACTCCTGCTACTACTACTACTACTACCACTACTACTACTACTACTACTACTACTACTACTACTACTACTCCTACTACACCTCCTACTACTACTACTACTTCTTGTTAGGGAGTTCAGGGTTCACGTTTTGGTTCTTGTTAAGCAGTTTCAGTCTTTGTTAACATAATCAGATTTAGAAAACCCCATTATTTGCTGTAGATCCCCTTCTGGTAGCTGACTTCTCGTGCCTCGAGATGAACGCCAGGCTACGACGAGCTGGTGGACGTCTTCGCCCTTGGAGTTGTGAGCTACTTCATGATGTTTCGGGCTTTGCCTTTTTGGGGGAAGACCCAAGATGAGACGCTGGAGCAGACTCGGCGCGGTGAGGCGGAGATTCCCGAGCTGCTAGGCTTTTGCTAAGGACGCTAGAAAGTTCTGAGGTACCCTAGCTTCGGGCCCTTGAATGGTTCTATAGAGGTCTAGGGTTAAGGAAGTTGATTTAAGTCAATTATCAGAATGGGGTCTATAGCTATTGAAAGGATTTCCTGATTTTGGCGACTTAAATTCAATAAGGAGTTTCCGAAAATACGTGACCCTAATATCGGACCCTAAATAGCAGGATCCTTGTTATAAGGACCCCGTAAATAAGGTACTTCTTAATTTCGGAAACTATGCCCTTACACAGCCCTTTTGAAGGAAACCTTATAGTCCCTTTTTGCAGCCCTTTCAAGGAACCTTCAGGTACTCCTAAGTTTCGGAAACCTCTTGCCTCCTTAAGAAGAGCTGAGGTTGAATGACGAGCGATGGCGTGCAGTTGTCTCTCTGGTATTGCGGATGATGTCCAAGGAGTCCCCAAACCCTGAACCCAAACAGCAAGCCCCAAACCCGAAACCCGAAACCCTAAAACTAAGACCCTAAGCCCTAGAACCCTACACCCTAACTCCTAAATCCTGAAGGCTTTGGCTCTAAAGCGGTTTAGGGTTTAGGGTTTAGGGTTTAGGGAAGCCCCCAGGAGGCCCAGGATCGGCCGAGCGCCCTGGCTTGCTTCAAGGAGCTGACGGAGCTGGAGCCTCTGGTGACAAAAAGCGGAAAGTCTCGCGCCCTCCGGATCGCCGAGGCTGCCTTAGTGCACTATGGCTATGTGGATGCAGCTGAAGATTGCAGCTTGGACGAGTTTTGCGAAAGCGCTGCACCGGAGGTGGAGGATGCTTCGCCACCGGTTGCTGCACCCAAAGCCTCCTTGCTGAGCGGAGTTGGTCGAATGCTGACTGCGGCGAAGGGGAGGATCCCTGCCGTGCATGCGCCCAGGGTCCGGCAAATGGTGTCCAAGGCTTTTCGGAGGAGTGCTCATGCATCCGAGGTGGTGTCAAAAGTGTCGGGGCCGGAGAATGAATCTCAAAGCTTCTGGGTCCTTGTTAAGGAATGTATTTCAAGTTGCCGCCATAACAGGGATCTAAAGTAAAATACCTTGGGTTTCCCTACTATGGTAGCTTAAGCCTTAAACCCTAGACCCTTTAAGGAGCCCTTATAGATCCCTTGGAGGAGCTCTTGTGTGGATCCTTATGATGGTAACTTTAAGAAGAGCCGAGGCTCCGGTGGGCATTGCTTCGCCGAGGCCTACGGCTTGATGCTAGGCGGGGATGCGGAAGGAGCAGAGGTGACGGGAGTTGTTCCGAAAGCAACGGACACGCTCCCCGGTCTTGTGGTCTCCAATGCAGAACCAGCGAAAAACCAGGGAGAGCAAGATGATCGAGATGCAGCCGAGTGCGGCTCGACCATCATCGCGGAGTCCGAGAAGGACGAAAAGCAGCGCGACAGAGCGACCAGTTCCAGTATCGTGCTTGACTTTCCCGGCAAGGCTGCTGAGGATCTGGATCTTCTCCTGGAGGAAGATGACCTGGACGGTGCATCATCAGTTCTTCCGCCAACAGACGGTGCAAAACTACCTCATCCGCCCACAGACCAAGATGAAGCATCTTGGCAGTCTCACTCCGCACCGCCACCGTGCGACTGCCCAGAGGTGTTGTCAGGTCATCAACAGTGCGACTTGCGCCGGTTCAACAAACACGTGAGTGAGTCGCCCGACGAGTCGCAAGAAGAAGGAGACGCTTTTGAGTTTGCGCCCGTAGTCAGTGACGAGCTTGAGTAAGGAGTGCTCAGAACGTAGGACCAGCTGACATACGGAGGTAGCTTGCAGAAGCATCCTCGATACTTGCTCGTTGTGACATGCTCGGATGCCGGATCTTATCTGCAGCCTTGTGAGTCCTGTGGTCTGTAGCCTGTCGGCATGGGAAATGAGATTCGAGCGACAGAGCTGCCGATAACATCCGTGTCTTCGCGAGCCGCAAGCGGTGCTAGAAGACGAAGAAGCAGCAGATGCTTTGAGCTTGTGCCTGTAGTCAGTGACCAGCTCGAGCGAAGACTGCATGGGGTCAGTTGCTTCCTGTTGCAATACGTAGGACTAGTAAATATTTCGATGTAGCTTGCAGAAAGCATCCTCGAAACACGCTCGTTGCGAAATGCTCCGATGCCGGATCTTATCTGCGGCAGCCTTGTGAGTCCTGCGGACTGTGGTTTATCGGCATGGGAAACGAGATGCAAGCAGTAGAGCTGCCGATAACATCCGTGTCTTCCCAGTGAACATCCGTTTGACTTGGGTTTTTTCGACTTCCGAGAATCAGAGCCATGCAGTAACATGCATGTTACAATCTCTTCGATGCTCGTAAGTAGCGTTGACAGCTGCAGCGGGCTTTTTGAGCAAACATCTGAGCGAGTCGCCCAACGAGTCGCAAGAGATTGCTCCAACAAGAAGCTTGTGCTTTTGAGTTTATGCCTGTAGTCAGTGACGAGCTCGACTGAGGACTGCGTGGGGTGTCAGTTGCTTCCTGTCTCAGTACTGTAGGGGCATAAAGAATTTCCAATATTATGGTGGAGGTTCCTTATTATGAATAGAGCATAATGGGGCCGAAATCCTATTCTTAGTATTAAGGCCCCTATATTAGTTGGACTAGCAGACACTTTGATGTAGCTTGCAGCAACATCCTCAGCACGTGCTCGTCCAAATTGTTCTCCTGCGACATGGTCGGATGTCGGATAGTATCGGTAGCAGCCTTGTGAGTCCGTGGATTTTGGTTTATCGGCAGAAGAAGCGAGATGCGAGAACAAGAGCTGCCGATGAAATCCGTGTGTTCCCAATGGACATCCATTTGACTTGGGGTTTTCTCTGACCTCCGAGAATCGGAGCCATGCAGGTAACATGCATTAACATGCATTTTGCAATCTCTTTGATTCCGGTAAGCAGCGTTGGCAACTATCGATCTGCCAAGGTTGCGTCTCACCTTCAAGGGATGAAAGTCCCCTCAGGTGCTCTTGACAGTGGTGGCGGCGGCTTCGAAAGGGCGCTTGTTGTCATATTGTTCCAAGAAATGTGGTCATCACTGTTGTTGCTTCTGAAACTCTGCCGGAGCTGTGGACACGACTGTTTTTCTCCTGTCTTAGCGCTGGCGGGCACGGCTCAAAGGGCTATGGCAAGATGAAGTCTTGCCGTGGGATGCCTGACCGAGAGCACACCCCTGAAATCTGCTTTGAGGTGCACACCGCTCTGAGGTCATGTGCCCGGAGTCCAGGAATCTTGTTGAATGAAAGCTGAAGTAACGCCCACTGCGAAAAGTATCCCCGGCCATGTCCACCTGACTTCTCACACCCAGGCCATCCCCATCATCGCCATGCCGGAAAGCCCAGCGCAACAGCTCAAGAAGAAATCTACTGTAGAAGCCGGACTAGTTATAATATTATTCCATGGAGGTTCCATAGTACACGCATACCTTTTTTCTAGTAACTACCGGCCCCAACCCTAAACCCAAAACCCAAAACCCTAAACCTTAAACTCAACCAACGACCGGGTCCGAAATTTGCAAGTCCTAGCCCAGAGGCCCGTTAGAGGCAGAGTTGCGCCTCACTTCCCATGAACCCTCAACCAGAGCCCTCGAGTACCCTGATAGAACCTTTAAGGGAACCCTATAGCACCCTTGTAGAACCCTCAGAGGAACCTTGTAGTGCCCTTGTAGTACCCTTTCAATACCTTTGCAGTACCCTTATGGAACCTTTAGCGGAAATCTCTCCACAGGAGTGTCCGGGCGCCGGAGCCTGGCGACTGGCCTGCCAGGAGGCCACTGAGTGCGCTGCTACTGCTACTGCTACTACTACTACTACTACTACTACTACTACTACTACTACTACTACTACTATTAGTACTACTACTGCTACTACTACTGCTAGCTTTCCTCCTCCGGTCCGACGCCTGTCGCGGGGCATGATGTACCCTTGTAAACTGGGCGCTACAGCTGTGCTTGTTCTGTCGAGCATTCGACATGCTATTACTAACAACCCCGCACGGTGCGATGCAAAGTCTGTAGACCATGGACGTCATTAGGTTTTTGGGCGTGGATGCTCTGTTCCCAAATCGCACTAGACCATGGACGTCCTTAGGTTTTTGGCGTGGATGCTCTGTTCCCGAGTCGCAGTAGACCATGGATCAAAAAAATGCAAGGACAAGTGCTGTAAATAGCAGCATGTTTGGGCTGCAACATCGAAGAGAAAGGTTAAACAAGCAGCAAAAAAGCGAAAACCCATGCACATTCCAAAATTTTAGCAATGAGGAAACAAGTGTTGTAAACCACAGCAGTTTCGACAACGCGATGTCTGTAAAATGATAGATCTTGGCGTCGCACCGAGGCGGGGGTGTAAACCGAACAACAACAACAACCACAACAACAACAACTGCAACTACAACAACAACTACTACTACTACGACGACGACGACTACCACTACTACTACAACTACACTACAACTACAACTACTACGACTAGTACTACGACTTAACAGGATGAGCTCTGTTCGCAGTAGTCCGACCTCGAACGAAGAGGACGTTCCTAACCCTAAACCCTAGTCTAAGCTCCGAAACCCTGGCCCTAAACCCTAAACCTTAACCCTTAAATCCCAAACCCTAAATCTTAACCCCGAAATCGTAGATGAAGCCTAAGAGTCGGCCATTTCTGGGTTAAGGGCAGCATCGGGATAACATAGAGGTCGGACAATTGCGTAGATACATTTCCTTAGAGTCCTTATGGGGGTTTCCGAAAATTGGGGACCCCAATATAGTACCCGAAAAAATAGACTCCTTATTAAAAGGACCCCTAAACAGGGTGCCCCTAGTTTCGGAAACTCCCATATACTGGTACTACAATCTACAGCAACACGTCATTCTGACTATGAAGTGCCCTGGAATGGTTCCTCACTGGACACGGACCATGACCACGATAGTGGTGCTGTTGCTGATGTGGCCGGTGAAGATGATTCTGATAATGCTGAGGAGGGGGAGGGGGACGTGGAGGAGGGTCAGCAGGACCAAGGCGAGGCCCACATGAGGAGGATGATCTGGAAGTCGATAACCATAACGAGGCGGACCAAGATGAAGATTCGCACAAGAACGCCGGCAGCGAAAGGACAACGAGCCCAAACAGGAAGTGCAAAGGGTGGACCGGGACAAAAGGATTCTTTGGCATGTCAAGACGATGATGAGGAGGAGCGGCAGACTCTGGAGGAGGAGAATGGCGTCGACCATGTCGACCATGAGTACGCTCCTCTCTGACACAACGTAAACCCGAACCACCCTTAACCGTCCTAAGAACCTATACCCTGAACCACCCTAAGCCCCCCAAAATATCCTAAGCCCTACCCCTCCACAACAAATCGCTTGTGGACACATAACGTACAACGCCACCTTTCTTCTTGAATCTCTGTTGCAGGGACCCTTGCGATTGCAGAGTCGCTGTGGCTTCTACGTGGAGGCAGGGAGGTCTGGTCACTTGGTCAGTGTCTGAAGAATGACACTTTCACTTTCCAGGTTGTTATACGATTTTTTCATCTTGCAGACTTGTACAAGGGCTTTTATCTGTTCTATACCGGTCTGAGGTTGTTTACGTAATTTTTCCTTCGTGAGCCGTTTGGACCCTCAATGAGGACAGCAATGAACTTACAAGCCCACAGAAACACAAACTGTATGGATCACACAGGAAGCACGGGTTGTGGTCGGGGGAGTACAAAGACTCTAGCGGCTTCGATGCTAAGGCTGTGTGGGCAGAGATAAGTTTAGAGGGTTTAGAAGGAGCCACGGGAGATTTTGCAGAGCTCGCAGTCGATTCTGTACCCTAAACCCGAAACCCTATACCGTAAGGGACCAAGAGACTGGGTTGAGGTACGCAAGACATGCATCGAAGGGTCACTGGGGACATAAATTGGAACTGCTGACTCACTCGCTGACTGATTCAGTTTTTCCGTAAAAGGCACGCAACAAGGACAGTCTGACTCTCCACACCCTAAACCCTAAACCCTAAATCCTAAACCCACCATACACTCCATCATGAAGCTCGTCTGGCCAGAGTAGTTGGGATATGCGGGGTTCATGTGAGTGTTGAGACTTCGAGGGGATGGCTTTTGCATCTACCTAATGTATGAACCTGATTAGAAACACTGGGCCTTTATTCCTTGTAGGGTTCCTTATATATATATAAATATAAATATAAATATAAATATAAATATAAATATATATATATATATATATATATATATATATCCTCATATATCCTACTATTTTGGGGGTTATAGGCTCAGGGTTTCTTAATCAGGTTCCTGCATTATGTATCTCTCGATCCATGGATCTGTCTGCCGCTCTACCGTCTATCTGACTGCCGAGCTATCCATCTACTTGCTTAATACAGATAGCCGTAGGCAGCTGCATGTAGATAAAGACACAGTTATGTATGAGCATGTGTGGTATGTGCAGTATATAAGCAGATAGGTGCAGATGTCTACATGGATATCAACGCAGATGGGCTCATTTAATTACAGTGTGAGAAGGAGATGTATTGCAGCTCTGCCTGCTATTTATGGCAGCAGCAGATTGCTTGTACTGCACCATCACACTATAGTTGGCTATACTCTTCCGAGCGTGAGAGAACATTCAGAGATCCGGAGCAATAGAGTCCTATCGTTTGGACCCCAAGCCCAAAACCCTGAACCCTCAACCCTGAACCCTAAACCCAACCCTGAAACCCAAACCCTAATCCCTAAGCCCTGAACCCTTTGAG